ATCCAGGCTGGGCATCCTGTGGCAGGCGCGCTCCAGGCAGAGGACTCATCCTCAGCGGCAGGCGCAGCATCTGCTTCTGCGGGGTGGGGAAACCCTGAAAGGTGGCCAGTGGGGAGGAGCTATAAGGTCTGGCGCCCTGGGGGCCACAGTGGCCTTGCAACGTCCACTGCCTTGGATTGGAAGGAGAGTGGAGAAGTGTGGGGAGGAGCTCATGATGCCTAGGAGCTAAAGGGTGCTGCCTCTCTGGGATTAGCCTGGTCCTCGGGGTTGAGCTAGCCTGAGCTTCACAAGTCTCCTTGGCCTCTTGCAGGGAGAGCAGCCACACATTCATTCGCCTTTGTCAGCTCAAACCCTCAGGTCTCTGCTTTGACAGGAGGTGACCCTGCCCAGTGCTCGATCTCTTCTTTTCATGTGTTGATGGGACTTAAATTATTATAGCAGATTCCTGTTTGCTTATCTATTAACCACTTTCCCCATCTTCCACATTAAAATTGCTATAACATTCAGCTATTTATCAGCTAAGTTCAACACGAAATGTAAGCAGAACTGTTGTGTGTAACCTCCAAGAGACTGTCTTAAAGAAAGCTGACTTAGTTGGGAGATTCATCCTTTTCTTCCTCTTGTCTTTATCCTCCCTGGAATATAAATGTGATGACTGGAACTCCAGCAGCTATAATGGCCTACGGGGTGGCTTTTACACTAGAAGCCTGCACTGAGAAAGAGGGATGTAAGAAAACAGAAGGCAAGTTCCTGATGACACTGGGGGACTCTGCCTATCACTAAACCTCGTCGGTGTGAAAGAAAGATAAACTATTTAGTTTAGCCTGTTATTTGGGACTTTGTGTTACAGGCATGTGATCTTACTCCTAGCTGATATAATTACATACTGTGCTATGAAGAAAGCTTCAATGAATCCCAAATGACAGAATTACAAGGATCACTGAAAAGAACCTGCAAAGTAATAACAAAAGAATACATTTTTGAAAAACTCAAACACTTAGAATGTAAAATATGTTCTTCTGACTAACTGACTAAAGAAGACTGAAAACTATAATTTCAAACTTACTTAGAAAATAACAGGGGCCGGGGAGATGGCTCAGTAGGATAAGTGCTTGACTGGCAAACGCAAGGATCTGAGTTCAATCCCCGGTTCCGCAAAAAAAAAAAAAAAAATAACAAAACAGAACCATTATATATGTGGGAACATACTAGATACAGCCAAAAATCACAGCCCTCAGCACTTCCATTAGGAGAAAAAATAAGAATAAATCAAGCATTTAAGGGGGAAAAAACCCTACAAACACAACTATAAAGAGATATAAAACAAAAGCAGAAATAAAAATAAAGTGGAGAAATTGATAAATACATCCAAGTCAATTTGTAAATGCAATTCTCACAAATTCAGTTATTTTAACAAAAGAGATGCAGGTAATGAGGGGAACAAACTGAAAATCAATCAGCAGAAAGATCATTATATTTTAAAATATCAATATTTCCCACTTTTCCATTACAAAGCATGTAGAGGAAAAGCAGCTAGAAAAGGGATCTGCAATACATGTGTAATTTGAAAAATTAATATGTATTCTGCAAAGAAATTAGAAAGCCAGAGCCCATGGAAGAATGGACAAAAGGGTTTAAACAAGTAATGCACAGAAGAAATGGCCAATAGAACGTCATAATCCTTTTGGTGTTCAGGGAAATAAAAATTAAAGCCAGAATAAAAAGTCAGATTGGTAAGAACTTCCAAAAGATCAATACCAGCATGGCGCAGGTTCAAGGACGCTGCCTTTTGGAAGGAAAATCTACCAATATCTGTTTGATAAAGGATAGCACGCAGGCCTTCAGGCAGCAGCCTCGCGGCTGTGCAGGAGATCCTCATCCTCGGCTTTGGGAGGATTTGTTGCAGTGCCGTTGCTTTTAAGAGCAAATATTCAGAAGCAACTTAAATGAAGGACACACCACTACTGAGCATAAAAACAAACAAATGCAACTGCTAAGCGTGATAAGCTAATGGCGGATAAAAATATTGATATAAGGGGAGATAGTTCAGTAGAATAAGTGCTTCCCTGGCAAGTGCAAGGGCCTGAGTCCAATCCCCGGTTCTGCAAAAAAAAAAAAAAAAAAAAAAAAAAAAAGCTATACTTTTCATGAAACGCTCCATGAAATTAAAAAATTTTTTTTTCTTCTTTCTTTCTTTTTTTGGTTATAGTTTCTGTTTTGGCAGTGGAGCTAGAGCCCAGGACTGTGTGTACACTCAACGTGCTATACCACCAAGCTACATCCCCAGATCGCTTTTAGGAGGGGGCAAGGTCCCCTGTGTTGGCCAGGCCAGTCTTGAATTCCTAAGCACAGGTGTCCGTCCTACCTCAGCTTCCCAAATAATTTGGGACCAGAGGCACAAGTCACAGCGACCAGTTCCAAGAAAAAAAATTAGAAGCCTTCTATGTACACACATAAGTCTAGATAAAGCCAAGAAACTCACAAGCTCCTGCCAGAGGTTACATCTGGCCACGGATTGGGGGCTGAGAGTCATCAGAAAGACTTTCACTTTTGTTTGTGTTGTTTAAATTCTGAGCAAAGCGGACATTCATGTGTTACTTGTAGAACTTTTAAAATATTCTATACAAAAATTTCTTGGTGGTATTTTTGAATCCTAAAGAACACACTAATGCATTACTTGAATAATTGTATATAAAGCATACAGAGAAGAATTTTTTTTTAATCCTAGAGATATTTTTGAACTCCAAAGATAAGAAAAAGAAATCAAACAATTCCAGGGTAAAGGAGAAGGGTTACTCATAAAAGAAAACAAAAACAAGCTCATTATTGTTCACATATAAAAGGGAAAGGCATTTTCAGAGATTCAAGAGTCCAGAAAGTGGATTGTCCATCTACATTGAGTGTTATATAAAAATGTATTCTAGGGCTAGGGAGATGGCTCAGTGGCACAGCACCTGTCTGGCGAGTACAAGGTCCTGAGTTCAAGTCCCAATAGAAAAAAAAGTGTATTCTAGCCAAACACACGAACCTAAATAATTTTAAAATTAAATATAGCTATTAATACTGGCTTCATAAATTGGATGAGATTCCAGGTTATTTCTAAAAACTTGGTGGGTGTATACACCTAAAATGATAAATAAAGATAAAAGCAACACGGTATGCTCCAAGTCTCTGCTTATGTGAGCTAGGCTGTGAAAATCATACTTATTATTTGATTTTTGATATTTATAAGGGCTATGTAAATAAAATGCAACCTCTCTGCGCTGTGAAATAATACAGCGGAATAGTGAGCACATGAGTTAGGATGTTCCCTTGCCAAACTGCTTAAGAAATTAGAAGGTCTACTGAAAGCAATCACTTTAATATAAATCAGGACTAGAAGTGGAAATAAAAGCAAAACTTCATAAATAAACCAGCAAAAACACTCACATGATGGCTAGAATAAGTGGTCACAACAATCAATGGAGGAACAAATACAAATGGATTCCATCATTACTAAAAGTAAAGACAATGTTTCTCAAATTTTTGTCCAAAAGAGACATAATACAAAATGACACAGAAATTAAATGTCTCTGGCGTAAATGTATAGTCAATGATATACAAGGAAAACTGATTAAACAAAACAAAAATAGAAATATTGACATGAAATGAACAGAATGCAAGGCAAAAATATTCAATAAAGCAAAGATATTTCATGCATGTGAGAAAGATAAAATCAAGAAAATAAAACTGTCACAAACACACCAAACTCCACTGCACTGAAATATATACAGCGCAAGAAATGCAGAGAAGTTAAATACACACACAATTATGGTAGGGAGTTCACAATCTTTTCTCAAAATATTTCAGAAGAGTACAATAGTTTCAGCAAACCACATATAGTGAATAATAATCTGTATATATTAAATTATATGCATACAATTAGGCACAAGAGAACATTTCTACTGTTCTAGAACACAGTAAGTATGGTAGCTGCAATTCACAGCAATTTATTATAGATTTCTATAAAAGAAAGGAGCTTGAAGGTTCTCAACACAGAGAAATGCCCAGTATTTAAAGAGGGGATGCTAATTATCCTAATTTGATCATGGTGAATTGTATGCAAATATCAACATACCACACTCTACCCTCCTACATACATACAATTTTTAAAAACTTAAATTAGAAAATATAATCTGGGGAAACAATTTTTAAAATATATGTATGTGTATAATGAGAGATTTCAAACATGCAGGCAAGTCTAGGGGCTATTATGAGCATTCATGGATTGTTAAGTCTTATTGCTCTCCAAATTGCGTGAAAAATTGTCTTTTCTGGAAGCCAAAACAGCACAGATCAAGTGCAGCACCTCCGCTTCCCTGCTAGACTGCACCACCTTCTCACCCCTCGCGGTGAGCATCGCCCTGCATTACTGCTCCGCTGAATGTTTTTACAGATACATCAGAAATATACTCATAAACTATATATAACACTGCTTTGCATATTTTTAAACATTATCTAATGACATCAGAGAGTATTACTACTCTGCTACTATTTTTTCATTCAACCCTCTTTCTGAGACTTCTCCATATTCATAATGTGAAATACTTAACACAGGAAAGAAAATAATGAACACAGGCTAACCTTGATTCCAAAACTGAACAAAAAGAATACCAAAACCCTCTCTGAATTAATTTTCAACTTTAATTTTCAGCAGGCTCCCATATATTCTTACTCCCCCAGTTCCTTTGGAAAACTTCCTCTTTTCCCTGACAATGCTGGAGGTGGGAATGCAGAGGGAAGAGGGCCCATTCTAGCGTTGGAGGGAGAAGTTCCCTAACTTTTATCAGAGGAGCACGGCGATCAGCCAATGCATAGCAAGTGACAGAAAAGTGGATAAACCTTTATCCAGTGTTGGGCACTTGTGCTAAATAAAAAAGTCAAATCTCCAAGAACAATGATGTAAAGTTATACATTCAAAATTGTGTGAAACAAGCAATCCCTTTGAAGGATGTACTTACAATTGGCGTCCCAAAAGGAATGTAACCTGTGAGTGGGGAAAGAAAAAAGTCAGGACTCCTTGAGACACCAGCAGCCCGCCAGGCTCGGTCTGATCCCTGGCACTGGCATAGGGACTCAGGACAGGTAGGCAGGCAGCATCCCCTGGCCCCCGGCCCCTCAGGCCCCCCCTTCAGTGTTCCCCACAGCAGGAGCTCCCTGTTGCCAGCCTCTGGCTCTCAGGTGTTTACAGCCAAGCACATGGCCTCCCTCCTTCCTGCAGGCCAAGCTGCAGCCTGGGACCCCAGGGGACCCCAGGGGCTACTCAGCAATTTCCTGCAAGAGGCACAGTACCCCCAGCCCTCAACCCTACACCAGACTGGTTATCTTCTCAGGAGGTTTCCCTCTGATTGTCTTTTTTTACTTCTCCAACATCAGTGACTATTTTGGGAAAGAATTCCCTGCCAACCTGCGATGGACACACCTAGGTGCTGGAGCTTCTTAACTCCTTAGGGCCTGGGCAGGACAGTGTCAGGGGAACCGCGGGCATGGACTCCAGCTCCGTGATGCATATGGCTTCCTGAGGAGGCTTCTGCCAGCTCCATTGCTGTCAGACCCTTCTCCCTAGCCTCTAACCTGGGTGCCAGCCGGCTGGCAGGCAGGCAGGCAGGCAGCAGGAAGCATGCTGCCCTGCGTTGCATCTGAGACAAGGATAACACCCTGAGCTCTTGCTCACCCGCCTGCTCCCTTCTGCTGTGAGATCCCAACTCTGGTTGGGCCTCAGAGGAATATATAACTTTAAAAGGTCCAGAGTTACAAGAGAACCCAGGCTCTGGGTGTGAGCCGGCAGGGCCCAGGGACCATCTACTGCTGTCTCCAAGATGCTCAGAGCCTTTGTTCCCAGAGTTCTGCAGGACATAGCTAAGGCCACGGGCACTAGGTGGTCCCCATGATCTTCTACTCCCTAGCTGTTTATTCCTCCCCAGCAAGGTCAGGCTCTCTAGGGGTGGGGATCTCACTGACTCAGCTGACTGAGGCCCCTTCCTCCAGCTCAGAGCCTTCCCAAGGCAGCAGCAGGCGGCCCTCCACACCATCCTCATGACTCAGGATTGGTACTGCCCACTGCATGGAGAAATAGCAAGGAGGGGGTGTCAGCATGCTGGTGACTGTGACCCTCTGAAGAGTGACTCTGGACAAGCCCTAAAAGCTCTCAAAATGATGGGCAGGACAACCATACCAGACCCGGCCAACATATGTGCAGGTGCTTTCCAGGCCCTAAAACCCAGGCCTACAGGGTTTATACCCTTGTGCTCATCACTGAGTGGGGGTGAGAGTGGGGAACACCAGATTCACCGGTTTCCTACACTAGCTCCACCCCAGCTGCTCAGGCAGAAAAGAAGAGCAGGTGAGTGCCACGGGGGGGTCCTGAGGCTGGCTGGTCACATATGGTTGAGCCAACATGCCAGTGTGGTTACATGTATAATGGGTTGTATCCCCTCCTCAGACCAGCATAGGCAGATGCCCCTGGAGCTGTGGCCACTGCCAGCTTCCTAGGCTGAGCAGAACCAGGAGGGCCCTGGAGCTTACCTGACATCCTAAAAGGCATGAAGATCTTCTCATTGGTGTCTGGGTGTAGAATAGCCTGCAAGAGTCAGGAACAGAGCATGGGGGGATGGGGAGCAGAGGATTTAGGGGAAGAAAGGGAGAAGGACATCTTCCCCACAAGACTCAGATCCTGGGGACCCTATGTGGCCTTCTGGTCACTTGGTCCTTTCTGCCACTCAGGGCAAGAGAAAACCGACACACAGGCAATGACTAGCACCCTCCTCTGACTAATCCTCAAAGCGAGTGTAGGGGAGACTGAAAGCCCACAGGGACTGAAACTGTATCTACTCAAAGGGCTTTCTCCTGCCCAGTACACAGTAGGCACCTAATTGGGATGTGGTGAATAGAGTCTGGCGTTACAGGAACTCAGAGCACCCAGAGAAAGGCCGGCTTGGCTGGAGCTTCAGGCTGTGGAAGCACAGGGCTTTGGGGATAGAGCGGAAGGAGAGAGGCAACTGGGGCAAACAGGAGGGGGAACATTCTAATGGTACGGAGGAGGGGCTCAGTCCCTGGGACAGGGTAGGAAGGGGTCCAGGAAAGCATGCAGGAGAGAAGATAATTCCAAACTGGGTTACCTGCTTGATTTTCTGGGCACTCCAGAGCTGGAAGAGAGACAGCGGTAATATAAATTAAAAGCAAATATATCAGTTGAAAGTCTGGGGAGGCTCATTTTCTAACTGAGAGATCCAGGTCGAGAAGCTTAAGAGATTCCAGCTGGCCTTGTTGCCCCAGGCTCAGCAGCCACCAGGAGCATAAAGTGTCAGAGGGTAAGAAGACTACGGATCCCGAATCACCCAGCTAGGGCACCACACACAGATTATTTAGCCCGGGACTCCGTGCTGTGGCAGTCTGGTTTTTTTTTTTTTTTGGAACCCACAATTAAACTCAGACCCTTGTGCTTGCCAGGGAAGTGATTATTCCACTGAGCCATCTCCCCAGGCCCTGGAAGTCTGTTAAAACAGCTCGGAGAATTCTTTCCACATTTCCCTAAAGGTCCCTAGTTAATGGGAAGGTACAACCAGCTAAGATCCTCCAATTTAAATGAAGATACTTCAGCTCCCAGAATCACTAGCGGCAGCATGGTGTAACTTTTTTCGGAGGTAGGCTGCCCAGATTGCTGGCGTGGCCACTGCTGCTTCTGAGTCTCGGTTTCCTCATCTGTGAAATGGGCATAATGGCCATGTTGCCAACCTAGGACTTTTGGAGAGGTTTCTGAAAAGTGCTTGAAGCAGAGTCAGCTTATAGTAGATGCTTTGTAAGTGTTTATTATCACTGATATTGTTACTCCTATGTTGTTACTGTTATAAGAAGGTTCTAGGAGAAAAACTTGCTTTCACATGTGAATAACACTGTGTCTTTCTAGCACAGCCAGGGGTAGAGGGCAAGCCAGGAAAATAGAACAATTTACCAGTTCCTTCAAATGATATGAAAACTCTATTGCATTAACTCTAAGGCACGACTGGTCCTAAGACCCGCTATCATGTACTGCATAAGAAGAAAGAAAAGGGCCGGTGAGATAGGTCAGTGGACTAAGTGCCTGCTTTAGCAAGCTCAGGGACCAGGGTTCAATCCCTGGTTCTTCATGCAGGGCTGGCCCCACCCCCACAGTGTGCTGAGCCAGCAGATGAATCCAGGCGTGGCAGTGCACACCTGTAATCCCAGTGCTAGGGAGGCTGAAAACAGGAGGATCACCACGAGTCTGATTTGAATAGGGAGACCCTGTACCAGATACATAAAGTGAAAAAAAAGAAAGAGAAGGAGGAGGAGAGAGAGGAGGAGGAGGGGGAGGACGGTGTAAACACTTACAAAGCATCTACTATAAGCTTTGTAAGGGGAGGAGGGGAAGGGGAAGGGGAGAGGGAGGGGGAGGGGGGAGGAGGAGGAGAAGGAAGGAAGGAAGGAAGGAAGGAAGGAAGGAAGGAAGGAAGGAAAGAAAGAGAAAGAAAGAAAGAAAACTGGGATCTAATGCCAAGATCCAAATCAATTATAGGATGTATATTTTAGAGATTTTAAAATGTGATGAAACAAATCTTTTTGAATCAAGAAAACACACTGATACTGTGTGCAAGCCAAAGGCCAGTGCATTTTTAACGGAGCAAGAAGGGTGCAGAGCTGGGAGAAAAAGACCACCTACAGCTGGTGTTGAAAGTTTTGCAATGTTATGCTTCACACACATGGTAACAGCGGTCATCTGGAACATAAAACAAGCTGCTGAAGTTAAGAAGGCTGCTGAGTAGTAAAAATAGAAAGTATACAATTAATGTTAAAGTTGATACATTTTACTCATGGCTGAGTCTCTCAAACTTTAATTCACAGCTTAATTAATGTTTATTTTAGATAGGCTGCAAACACACTTGATTATCTGCTATTTCAGGCCAAGAAGATTAGAAGCAGTTAAGTTTTTTTTAAAGAATAATAATAATAGGGAAACAGGATTGAAGAGAGAATGATAAAACAGTGCAGAATCATGGTGATCAGAAAGGTGAGCTTGGAAGGTGCATGCCTGTAATCCCAGCACTTGGAAGGCTGGGGCAAGAGGATCTCCGAAAGTTCAAGGCCAACCTGGGCTACATAGTGAGACCCTGACTGTGGAGAAAAGAAGAAAGGAAGAAAGAAAGAAAGGCCTGAAAGAAAGAAGACTGAGAACATATAACAGAGAGGGTAAAATTACATAAGCCTGGTTCTTTGCTCTCTGGAGCACATCTGCCATGTCCAAGTTTGGTCCAAGATAAGATTCTGGACCTGAGCAAATTTAAGACATCCCCTCAGCACCCCCATCACAATTTTCCATTTCTGGGTCCTTTCACCCTTGGGTTTGCAGTCCAGCCTCTGGGAGGTAGGAACTTGCTCTTTGGTACCAACTCCTCACCCCTTCCATAGGGCCTGGTACACAGTAGGTGCCTAATAAGTATTTGGTGAAGAAGTCTCACATTCTAAAATAGAAATCTACCCAAGGCTCAACTGACTTTTGGTTAAACATGGTGGCACAATGTTCAGGGTTCTCTCCTTCCCTCCAAACCCTCCAGCAGAGCATAGCCAAGCAGCAGGCCAGCCGAAGACCTTATAGAAGCAGGTGGGAGATGCCCACAACTCTGAGTGTGGGCAGCTGATGATGACTGGCCAGCAGCACCATGGGGGGCGGCAGTGAGCCCCGTGTACTGTAGATGAGGCTTGGGTACCAGGAAAGCCCAGTCAAGCAAGGCTGAGGCCAGGGAGACCCCAAGCCCCTGCACAGGAGATGGAGATTTATTCTCTACAGAGGTAGGGTCAGAGCAGCCCAGCAGTGCGGCTTTCCTTTGTCCAGCCCTACCTAACACAGGCAGGAGGATGAAGACCCCTTCTCCTTCAAATGCTCCCAGAAAGACAATCCATAGAGGGGCTGCAAGGACATGCTACCAGCATCACTGAGAAGGAACCCTCATCCTAGGGGCCTGGTGCACCATGATTGCTGTCTTGGTTTTCTTAATATCTTTATCTTTGAATTTGTGCTGTGTGCGTGGGGCGCAGTGGATAGTGGGGCACCTGCTAGGGGCCGGCAGCCTTGGGTCACACATGGTCCTGCCTCTGACTGCCTCCTGCCACCTTGTGGGCCACCCAGTGACCACTCTGGCAGGGCAGGGAAGAATGGGCAGGGCTCTACACGGAGCTGCCCGGCTCTGGGTGCCGTGAGGGAAGGGGGAAAGCAAATAAAATAGCAAATAAAAAAGAAAGCAAATAAAAAACACCTCGCTGGAGAGGGGGAAAGAGGAGGAGAGACAGAGAAGGGGGATGCAGAAAGAGACAGGGAGAGAGGGAAAAGGGGGAGAGAGGGAAGGGAGACCCTACCGAAAAGAGGGAAGGGTAGTGTTTTAGGATTTGTGATTTTCTTTTCCTATTGGGATGTGTGTGTGCGTGTGTTGAGGTACTGGGTATTAAACCCAGGACCTTCACTTTTACTACATCCCTGTCCTTTAATTTTTTTTATTTAATTAAGCTTTTTGAGACCGGTCATGAAGTTGCTAAGTTCAGGCTCGCAGTGCTCCTGTCTCAGCCTCCCCGAGTGCTGGATTACGGGTGTACACCTCACCTGGCTCTTTTTTCTGCTTTGAAGGAGGATCCTGAATTCTCACTGTGCACTGAGAGCCTAAATGATGCAGTTGCTCTGCCTATACATACACTGATATGTGGAGGCCCCAAGTGAACAACAGCTGCTCAGTGAAGCAGAGAATGGGATTCCTGAAATGAGACAAGACAGGAAAGAAAACACTAAAGATGCTACAGTACCTTCAGAGAGTAAGACAAAAGAAAAACAAGATGGAACGCAAAAAATAAGCAGGGGGACAAATCCCAGCCCTGTCAGTGGACGTGTGGCCCTGGGAAAACTATGCTGCCTCTGAGCTTTAGTTTCTCCATCAGTAAAATGGGTTGATGTGGGAGTGGGGCAGAGGCAGTGCGTGGTGTCCCCTGATCTTGCCTGCTTCCCCCCCCAGGACAGATATACCTGTACCTCCCTGTCTCCCCGCAGGCAGGTGGCCCCTGAAACAGTGCTGGCTGTGGACTGAGGGTGGAGATGACCCCCACTTCTCCTGGCCCCAAGGCCTCCCACAGAGGATGCCATGGAGGACAGGGAAGCCCATGGAGATGGCAAAGTCACAAAGTAGAGGAACACAGGCCCTGGACGACAGCACATGCCAAGCTGGCGAGTCGTACTGGATTCAGATGTGAGTGAGTGAGTAACAGACCTTAGTGCCGTGTCTGCAATCTGGGGCTTCGTTAGAGCCCTTGGCTCAGTATGACTAATACAGTGGGTTAAATGAGATATGCATATATAAAATATTTGACTCAGAGAATGTGCTCAGTGTGGTTGACTAAAATAGAGGAAGAAATTCAAATGAGCACTATTTTTAAGGGATTTAATCATCTTCCAGAGTAACTTCATTTCCATTGTCTCAGCAAGCCTGGGAGTGGGGAGGTTCTTTTCACACATAACTCATCTCAGAGAGGAAGTAGCCCTGCCAGAGTCCCCGGGGCCCGCAGGCAGGACGGAGAAGGTCCTCCCTACCATCCCACACCCTGTGGAGTGGACAAATGGCTGAGGCTGTCCAGGATGACTATAGGGTCTTAGTCTTGAAGCGCTGGCCCTGTCCTGAGGTCCCAGGTACCTTACGAGCAGAGGCTCCCTAGCAGGCCCTTGATCAAGTTCCAGCGCAGTGGCAAGTGGCTGTGTGTTACGGATACCTGCAGGGCCCAAAGCACCACAGATAAAGGCTGCAGCAAAGCCACTGTAACTTATGGGAGAAAAAAAAAAAAAAGCCACTGTAACAACTCTGTGCTTTTCTGCATTGCTGAGCCCTTTCTTTCCAATGAGCTATTAGATTTTCACAGAACAGATGAGAAAGCCATTGCCAAGAGCCACACCTGAGTTTGCAGGAGACCAGAAGGACAGCTCTGACCTCTGCCTCAGATCTGTTGGTCCCATTCACCCACCCCAGCCATCCAGCCCCATCTACTGAACTTGTGCTGTCTCAAGCTTTGTATGTCTTAAATTATCTAATCTCTTTCACAATCTAAGAGTTGGGACTCGTGTATCTCCCATTTCCTGATGTGGAACTGAGGCAGAGAG